GCTTCACCTCGGCGCCGCGGCCGTAGCGGTCGAGGTATCGCTCGAGGTACCGGCCGACCATCCAGGCGCGCGGAAACTCGGGATCCTCGGGCGCCCAGGCGAGGTCGCTGAACTGCACCGTGTGGCGGCTCTGGTTGGCCACCATGAGCGGGTGGACGAGGCCGTCGACGTCGCTGGCGCGGGTGGGCCACAGGCCGCCGACGCGGCGCTGGGCGTCATAGACCGTCACGGTGAAGGCGCCGGCGGGGGCATTGTGGAGAAGGGTTTTGGCGGCGACGAGGCCGGAGGGTCCGGCGCCTATACACGGACAGAGAGGGTGAGCTCAAATCGGGCCAGAAGCCGAATACCGGAGATTTCAAGGGTCCATACCGACGATGCAGACGCGTTTGGCCATGACGTGGGTGTCGACAGGGGTGATACGGGACGAAGGTGGGATGTGCGTGAGAGAGAGAGAGAGACAAAGAGAGAGTGATGCCCCTCACTTGAGACTATCCCTGCAGGATGAGACCTGCTAGAGGGTGGGCAGAGAGGGTTGACAGTTATATGAGTGAGTTGCGAATGAGTCAGTGTCTTATCCTACTACCGGTAAGCCCGCAATGCAAGGTGAGGACCGGCAGATCGCACTGCAGGACGTCGTTAGTCCACACGAATGGGGTGAGTGGGAAGTTCTCACGTCAGAACGCCGCTGCCGAAAGCGCCATGTCGTGCGGTCGGGGATTAGCGGTGAATGTGGGGCTTGTCGCCGATTGAGACCGGCGCTATCCGTTATGAGTCAGCAGGTCTGAGCGCCCCGTGAAGGCGGTCAAACAGCACCGACGGACAGGCGCCAGCTGGTGATATATTGCTTCCTCTTTGCCTGTTGTCGGTTCGCTATTATTATCATCATTATTATTACGTATCTGTAACAGCAGACTGTATCTCTCCTAGCTACTCACCAGCACGCATCACTCTTGGAAAGGACCATTGCAGGGGAGGGCTACATACGGTACTGAAGACCCAAGAAGTTGGTGTTGTCCCCCGCCCCAGCAAACTGGGACTTGGCTTTGAAAACAGACCTCCATCGCCAATACACCCCAGCGTCAAGGGACCGGGTCGCGACAGAAGTACCGGTGCTATCTATTGGTACTCTGTGGTCTCCCGAAAGAGGGATCTAACCGCCAGTCTGGCTAGCATCACCGCGGGTTGCCAAGCCAGGGCTTCGGGTCCCGTTGCGGCCGGTACAGGCCCAGGTGCGGTGCCTCAGCCAAATCTCGGGGTCCTTATCGGCTTCTTGCAGCGACTCTGTAGGCGTTTGGACGACTCCTCGACGCTAGACAGCGGCCGTGCTCTGGAGATGACCTTTTATCCCGTTTTCCTGGCCAAGCCAGCCGCGGTATCTGGCGTAGGCTTGCTGCGTTGAGAGACGTTGGCCAGGATCAACCCCGGCTCATGCGGATGCATAATCGGCACAAACGACTTTGCAAATCGCGACCTGCCACCACACTGCCCATTAACATGTCTTGGCTGCAAGCTTCAATGAAAACGGTGATTCGGTTTGATCTCATTCAAATGCAGGACCACTGCCCTCCTGTCAAATCGCTCGGCAGGATGCATTCGTCTGGATGACCAGTCTCGTTCGCGGAACGGACAGCTGCATGGTTTCGCGGTCGCACCCAGTAGTATCGTCGCAGCCGAACGATCTATATCATTGGCTACGTGGCCTCGCTCGGTGCTGCTCTTCCTCGCCGTTTCTCCTCGTACCACCGCAACACAGATCTCGAACTACGGCGTCACCACCCCTTGTCCTCACGTGGGCACCATCCTTGCTGGAACTCCGCTAGCCTGTTTTTCTTGCCTGTTCTGCATTCAGACCAACCCTTCTGGTGAACCGCTGCATGGCGGCAACGGCGGCGACGCATCACCTGGACAATTATGGCCTTGGTACTTGTTGGTTTGGCAGCACGCTTCGCCGCCAAGGAGGCGGCTGTTCTACCCAGCTTGCTCGGCGTTCAATTAATGCATGTAAAAGCTGCCTGGCTTGCAAAGCAATTTGCAACCGACAGACCAAGCTTGCACCCGCGGGGCGTTGCTGGGTATAAGGCACGCTGTGTTATTCCCCAAGTTCCGGCGGCCTTTGGCTTCTCCCAGCAACCTTGCCGCAATTACAGATCCCCAAAAAGCCTCATCGGAAAAACAATTCCATCACTCGTGGAAAAATCCACTTGGAATTAAAAAGCCCGATCTAAGACAGGGTTTTGACCTGTGTTTTCACTTGAACTACCATACGTCCAGCGAGTAGCTGATGATGTAACCTGGATGTCCCGGGCGTCAGCTGCGGAGCTCAAGGTGCTCTCTTGGTTTCCGCTCGATTCTCGAACCATGGAAGCCAGACAAGGTTCAGTTCCAAAGGAAACAATCCGATACAAGCAAACTGGGAGTTCATTTGTCTTGAATTCTCACCATATCCGGACAAAGTAGGTGGCCCAGGTTCCTATTTTGGTCTGTCAATACAGATATCCTTGTCCAAGCCCTGCCTGGGGCTGCCAAGCAACGCAAAGCATGTTTTCTTCTTCTTCTTCTTCTTTTTTTTCTTGAAATATCTGTCGGAGTACAGTTCCTCCGCAGAATAGCTACTGTTGTCAACCCAAACGAAAATCCGTTTATGGCAGGGCCTGCTCGCCGTCGAGAGCTCCTTCGCTTCGATGTGTGTGATTTGATAAGGCGGCACGTTCCATTGCAGCGGTTTCATTGCCGAGTGTATCCCGAAATCTTATACCGTAAAGGAACGAGGGTTGCTCCCACCCCGCACATGCCACCGTTGCGGGCACGTTCGGTGTTCCTTATATCAACCAATCTCCCGCCGACCTGGTCTAGCTTTCGTCATGATGCGCTGTCGCCCATCTTACCTCCGAAACTAACGACAGACCAAACTCTGCATCACGTCTGGCCCGCATCCAGCAATTGCATCGGACCTACTCTCCTCATTCACATTTGATTTCATCACGCTTACTACCGCTTCTCCGTTGAGGGCACCAACCGCAACTTTGTCCAGCACATCGGCAGAACATCACAATGAGCAACGTTGAAAAGACAAGCGCCTCGCGCACGTCAGATCAAGGCAACCAGATTGATGAAAATGATCCAGATGCCCACCTCACTGAAGAGGAGAGACTGGATGTGGCAAGTACACCACCCATCACGCCGAGAAGTGTTCATCTTCCTGACATGTCGTCTGCAGGACCGAAAGTTGGTTAGACGGCTTGACTGGATGCTCATCCCATGGGTAAATTGCCGTTCTATGCCTTTAGGCAAGCCTAGCTGACAAATCTGCAGCTTTGCATACTTTACCTACTAGCGTTTCTTGACAGAACAAATATCGGAAATGCAAAGATCGCCGGCCTGAATCACGATCTGGGATTAACTAGCTCCCAGTATAACTCGTCACTCACTATATTTTTCGTCTCATATGCAGTATTCGAGCCGTTGACAAACATTCTTCTCAAAAGACTTCGCCCATCAATATTCATCCCCATCATCATGTAAGTCCGAGCCCATCCATCTGTCATCCGAGACTGGGAGCGCTTTGTTTCTAATTCTTTAGGATTCTCTGGGGCGCGACAATGACCGGCATGGGTTTCGTATATAACTGGAGCGGCTTGATGGCTGCTCGATGGTTTCTGGGCCTCACGGAAGCAGGGCTATTCCCAGGCGTCAACTACTACCTTTCCTGTTGGTACAAGCGATCAGAGTTTGGCATTCGTGCTGTAAGTTCCAGCAGGTGCACCCTTCAAAGTCTCCTACTAATTCATGCAGGCGATCTTCTTCTCTGCGGCCGCCATTTCGGGTTCCTTTGGCGGTGCCCTAGCTGCCGCAATCGAACAGATGGCTGGTGTCGGCGGACGACCCGGCTGGGCCTGGATATTCATCCTCGAAGGACTGCTAACAGTGTTGTTCGGAGTTGCATCTTTCTGGATGGTGCATGATTTCCCCGATGAGGCCAAATTTCTCTCGGAAGATGACCGCCTCCGCGTCATCCGCCGGCTCAAGATGGATCAGCAGGCCTCAGCCGACCACGAGGAGTTTAAGATGTCGTTCTTCTGGCAAGCTGTCAAGGATTGGAAGATGTGGTTGGGCATGGCTATCTATATGGGCTGTGATATGCCACTGTACGCCTTCAGCCTGTTTCTGCCCACCATTGTCAACGAGCTGGGATGGAATACCAGCACCGTCCGATCACAGTTGATGACCGTGCCGCCTTACGCCGTGGCAGCCGTTTTCACAGTCTTTGTTGGCTGGGTGGCAGACAAGACCCGACAACGCGGACTTTGCAACATATTCGTCAGCTTGATCGGCATTGTGGGCTTTAGCATGCTTATAGCCACCGAGAGCCCGCAGGTCAAGTACGCCGGGACCTTCCTGGGAGCCCTCGGCATCTACCCGTGCATCAGCAACACCATCACCTGGGTAGCGAACAATGTCGAAGGGGTTTACAAACGCGGCGTGGTGTTGGGTTTCGTCATAGGGTGGGGCAACCTCAACGGCATCGTCAGCTCCAACATCTACTTTCGCGAGCCTCGCTTCTTCGAAGGCCATGGCGTTGTGCTAGCTTACATGTCTGTCTTTTTGTGCCTCGGCAGCGTGCTCATGACAACGCTGCTGAGAATAGAGAATCAAAAGAGGAGACAAGGCAAGAGGGATCACTGGACAGACAATAGATCAGAGAAAGAGATTGAGGCACTGGGAGACAAGAGACCCGATTTCTTGTACACCCTGTAGACTAGCATGTCCGTGGGCGGCCTAGCAAGGGTTGGTACAATTGGAAGGACAAGCATGATGTACCCTCCACACCAAGGACGTTAAAGTTCTACCAGAAAATAAACTAGTTTGAGTGACTGGGAGGTGGTGGTTTCTCTGCATAACAAACTGGTAAGTGACGAAAGCAAGCTTGCATGATGATGGTGATTCTACACAAGTTGTGGATGACGACCCCAAGTCAGCAACCCACCTATTGGTTGTCTTCAGCCCTGATGGTCTAGCGGTATGATTCTCCCTTAGGGTTAAAAACCCACATCTGGGAGAGGTCCCAGGTTCGATCCCTGGTTAGGGCCCAATTCTTTTGCCATTTCTGTTCTTTCTCTGATAGCTAAGTTACTGGAAGGAACAGAACAGATTGCTGTTCTTTTTGTGACTCAGCAATCGCTCTTTTACAGCAGAGCGTCTGGATTCCTATAGCAACTGAATCTCTGTGCTTGTATTATTACTCTTTCTGGAGGCCAACTACTATTGCGAATACTTTGTAGAATGTTATCATTTGATCAAAAGAATGCATGAAGACTAGACCTTTGGGGCATCCAGTTTGTTTACCAGTCAGTCTCAAAAACAAATATAATTATTCATCGGGTCAGTCGAACCGGTTCGCAATCCCTTTTTCCAAGAACCATCCTTGTGGCCAACGCTGCAGTAAGGCTAAGCCCGGCTCCACCACAAGATTATATGGTCACACGACGGACCTTGTTCCCCTCGATGGTACTCAATGGGGGCCGATTTGGAGGGAAGTTTGCTGCGATTTGAGGGAATGCCAAGAAGATGGTGAACCTAGCATAGCCGATTTCTCTGGATGGCGATCCGAGGATGAGTATTGTGTGAGGGCCACAGCGGGGTTTGAGCGTCTGGTCTGTGCCACCCCTAGGTAAACCAATATGGGTTCCAACTGTGCACGTGGTATGCGTGCTAGGATGTCGATTTACGGCAAATTTCTATCCAAAATGATATTTACCAAAAAACGTCAATCTGCCACTGTAGGGCGGTTGTCATTTCCGTGACTTGGGTGGTGGGCCATGTATCCAGACACGTGCTTCACTGAGCCTACGCTTGCGCGCGTGCACGCAAAAGTGGACCTTGAGGAGGGGAAAAAAAACCCTTTGACTGGATTGGTCATACCTTTTAGCGTGTGGTCCTAAGTATAATTAAGTTTGCATGAATTCTCAAAAGTTTTCATCTCTTTAGACAAGCTGCCCAGAGTCATTTATATTAGGGAAACTAATAAGGGCATTTTGGTTTAGTCGATGGCCGCTCACATAGTGTAGAATAATCACTTAATCAGTGATGTTAACCACTTTCCAGACTATTCCCAGGCTGTCAATTATAAGCTTCGAAGGACTGGAAAGGATCAGGATTCTGTTTAAACCTTAATTGATGGTGGGAATCCTGGAGGGTCTAAGGCTCTAGACGGTTCTATTTCTGGTGTTCAAATAGAATAGTCATGCTATTTTACGGTTTTGAGTGAACTTCCAGCTACACAGAAATCAATTTGCATGTTATATCAATCCAGAGCAAATGAATATTTTTCGACTTACTTAGCCCCAGCCATGCCGCTGACATGTAGACTAGCATCCAAGCTCTGAAGCTAAGGTCAGCATAATATATCCAATGTAATTGCCAGCGACTTTCAACTCCCGTGAAACTTTGGCTTTTTGTAATTAATTTATTTGAAAAGTTCTGAGTAAAGTTTGGATTCTTGAGATGTACAAGTCCGAAGGTGCAGAGTAGGACTAGCACATGCATGAATATCAAGCCTTATTTCGCCGCTGCACGCGACCTGTCACCTAGGATTGAAGTCTCGTAAAACACAAACAGCTTCAGCTGGGATTGAGTGCACTAAACCCCTGAAGATACTACATTATCTGAAGTGTTAACAAAAACTCACTACGGAGCATCGCTTCTTACACTATACCGATGTCTTGCTATGCTGGCTGATAGTCATGATAGTGGCAATAATACAAGACGCTGAACTAGGTACGCGAGATTCTACTTGCGCTCAACGTGGCAAGGAAGTAACCCAACGTGACTGAGTGTGGTGATGACTCATTAGGTTTAACTCATTCATTATTATTGCACAGTGCCCTCTTATTGGTTGGTGAAGTCTGACCTCACTCAAGCCAAATAGGAGCTTACACTAGCTGCTACTATCTTACCGTAAATGTTCAGTCCGCCCGATACTCGTATAAACATGCTCAAATCCGTTTTAGATATGTATTTCGACCATTAGATTGTGCCAATGTCTTCATTTCGACTCGAGCTGCTTGGGTGTCTCTACGTGACTCGTGCCACTGTCTCAAGTCCCCTTGTCCATATGTTCGAGGCTGGGTTATGCCCAGCACGCCAAGTCATTAAATTTGCCCAGCCACTCTCAAGCACTCACTGGCCTTTGAATGCATATTCAGAGCCCCAAGGTCTTGGTAAAGATTGCACTGTAATTATCTTGGAGGCAGCATCAAGTCGGACACGTAGAGAAAACCTTTATCATTATGAAAAGTGACTCAGGCACACACGTACTGGAAATAGACATTTGCACCTTCTAGATTTTTGTTTTTGTTTCTTTTGCTTCACTTACTGAACAATGGAGAGAACTTTGATCGCACCCTACACTTAACGGCGTCATTTTTGTGATAGCTGTAGGCTAAGTAGATCTAAAGTGGTTGTGCTTCAATGAGATAAGCGTAGCCAAGGTAACGAGACGATTCGCAAAATACTGCTATCCGATTAGTCAGAGGATAACCGCCTACACCTAAGCGAGATATGCCCAATACGAAGGTAAATAAATCTGTAGCAGATATGCGCGACTACTGTTGCCAATCTGGGGTAATATGTGGCGCAGCCGTGATATATTACAATATATTAAGCGTTTTTTTAAAGTTCTTCCCATTGCCCGCAATTAGTGGTGTTGTGCTTTCGATAACAATAATGGTTATTTATACCACCTCGGAAATTATTGGATTCTTTACCTGGCTCTTTAGCCCACCTACACGTCATTTTCGGTTAGTTTGACACCTTGGCTGGTGTTCGAGACCTTGGCGGCATCTTTGCCTCAAAGTGCAATACACTCACTATATCGATCCATTTGCTACGTGTACGATCCTTACCCCTATCGGTCACATGAAACTCAGTATAGCCCCTGCAAAGTATCCGCCCCCCCTCGCCCCCAATTCAAAAGATAACACCACCCATCAGTGAAGCAGCCCCGTTAAAGTCACTATGTGTGTAACTGTCGTGAGACTGAAAATATCGAAGTGACTTATGATTATGCCTTATCGGCGTCGAAAGTGAGGGTCTCTGGAGGTACCTGACGCAAGTACCAAGGCAGATGTTCTGCTGACCAGAAGCTATAGTTGACCAAAACGTTGATAAATAGGTGACTTGACCAATAGCGGTCGGTTTCTATGATTCTTGGGCCATCTGTCAACTTGCTGTCTCATGCTTAACGCAGGAGGCCACCGTGGACCCCCCCTGTATCGATCCTAATCTTGCCAACTTGGGACCCATCCGGACCCATCTATCAATCAAAAGACATAAGTAGCAATACTTGCTCCCCAGTTCTGATGATCGAAACTCGGTAAGCGGCAGCTTCTCAGACTTTCGTTTAATACATTCATTCGTTCAATGCCTTCACTTATCACATTCTTTTACAATGCGGCGTGAATCTTTGTCTACTGTAGCCCTAAACCTGGCACTTATCCCCTTTGTCGCAGCTGACACGACAATCACCATCAACGCCCAGTCCTACAACGGTATATGGGAAGGATGGGGAACCTCTCTTGCGTGGTGGGCACAGGCTTTTGGAGACCGCGATGACCTTGCCGACATCTTCTTTACCACCAAAACGGTCAACTTCGGCGGCGTGAATCTTCCCGGTCTCGGCTTCAACATTGCCCGCCATAATGCCGGCGGTTCTAGCACAACGCAGGTTGGCGATCAAGGGATGGTTTCTTCGTGGAGAATAAAGCCCTCGAGACAAGTCATGGGCTATTGGATTAATTGGCTTAACGCCGACCCGGCTTCAGACAGTTGGAACTGGAATAACGACTTGAAACAGCGCACCATGCTGCAAAAGGCCCATGAACGCGGCGCTAATAAATTCGAGCTCTTCTCTAATTCGCCTATGTGGTGGATGGTCAACAATCACAACCCTTCTGGATCCGACTCAGGCGATGAAAACATCCAGTCATGGAACCTTCAGACGCATGCGGTGTATATGGCGACTATCGCCAAATACGCACAAGACAACTGGAATATTACTTATGAGTCAGTTGAACCGTTTAACGAGCCCTCGGCATATTGGTGGACGGCGGACGGCACACAAGAGGGTTGCCATTTCAGCTGGGATTCGCAAAACAGTATAATTGGCTCCCTACGATCAGAACTTAACGACCGAGGACTACAAAACACTATTATCTCTACATCGGATGAAAACACATACGATCAGGCCGTCCAGACCCTTCAGGGGCTAAGTGATGATGCACTTAAGCAGACTGGGGGAGTCAACGTGCATGGATATCAGTATGGATCAGGCGATCGTAGCGGAGTCCTCAAGATCGCCAAGGACCGTGGCTTACGGTTATGGAATAGCGAATACGGCGACAGCGACAGCACAGGCCAGAATCTTGTTAGCAACCTCATCCTCGACTTCCGGTGGCTGGCACCAACAGGCTGGGTGTACTGGCAGGTTCTTGATGGTGGAGGCTGGGGTGTTATCGATGCCGACAACGATTCCGGGTGGTTGGGAGGTGCAAATCAGAAATACTTTCTACTGGCGCAGTTCGCGCGCCATATCCGCCAAGGCATGGTGATTCTGGACGGCGGCGCTGATCATGTCGTGGCAGCATACGACGGTAGTAGTTCGAAGTTGGTGATTGTTGCAGTTAACTGGGGCGATGCGCAGACCCTCGAGTTTGACTTGAGCCAATTCGCGCAGCCCTCAACGGATGGTGCCGTAGTCACGAATTGGAGGACAATGATTGGGTCAGGCGACCAGTATATACAGTCCAACGAGATAAGGATGGTTGGAACCAAGTTCTCATCGGCCTTCGAAAAGAATATGGTCCAAACCTTTGAAGTCACTAATGTCCTTCGCGAATTCCCAAGGGGGAAATAGCGCCCTACTCATTTCAGTCAGGCAATGGAATCTAGCTCTATAACTTTTTCACTTGGTTATACTCTTTGACGTATTTTTTCATTTGCGTGTGTGTTAGACTACCTGCTACGTAGGCTGTCTTTCTATTTAACCCTACACATTGTGTGTCTCAGCACATATAATATACCCGATTGTTTT